TACACCACCATGTACTCTGTTTCCTCAGCTAGAAACCTGGGCTTCACCTACCAACTGTCTTCTCACCTACCCCTTATATCCCTTCCTTGCTCATTCCTTGTCAGTCTCCTTCAATTCCTTTTCTTATGTCTAAAATTGCTGATGTTCCCCAAATTTTTGTCTTGGTTTCTTTTCTTTTCACGTCACACACTCTCCCTGCGTGATCTCATCTACTCTCATGCTGACCACTCTCAAATCTGTACCTCAAGCACAGGCTTCTTTCCTAAGCTCCAGTCCCGCACATCAAGTCCTGCATATCAAGGCTGCCTGCCATGAACTCAACTTGTCCCAATTGGAACTCATCATTTCCCTCCCTCCCACCCTGCAAATCTTGCTCCTCCTCTACTGATTTCTATCTTAGTGAACAGCACACCAGAAACTTTATTGCCCAAGCAAGAAATCTGGAAGTTTTCCTTAATTTCTCTCTTTCACCTCACATATCCAGGCAGTCACCATGTTTTATAGTTTTTATCATCTTATTATTTCTCCTCTTCATCTCCACTGCTATTGCCTCAGTGTAGGACCTCTTCTGTTCTACCAGGATTATTTCAGTAGTCTCCCTGCCTTCCTGTTTACCCTCTTCAGATCATCCGCCATGCTGTAGCCAAAGTGATCTTCATAAAATGCAAATTTAATTGTTATTCCTTTGCTTTAAACTCTTAAATTACCATTACCTATTAAACTCCTCAGGGGATAGGCTATGATCCAGCCCTTGTCCATCTGTACAACCTTGTTTCCTGTCATATCCATTTCTCTTTGAATTCTATACTGTGGTCATTATAAATTGTTTACCATTCTTTCATATAACAAATATTTATTGAGTTCCTGTAGGCCATCAGGATATGTCAGTAAAACAGAAAGATAAGGTACTTACATTCTCAAACTAACATTTTACTTGTGAGAGACAGGTAAACAGGATACGGCCAGACAGTGATAATGCTATGAAGGAAATTAAACCAGGCTGATATAATGGAAAGTATTAGGACAGATTACTCCTGATAGGGTAGTCACCTCCTCTTAAGTGGTGAAATTTGGGCTAAGATCAAAATGAGGAGATGTTTCTGGAATAAAATATACTCTCTCACACTTCACACTCTTGATGTATCTAGAACATTCCTTTCTCCAGCCTGGCTGGCTCTACTAATTTTTTAAGATACAGTTCAAGAGTCATTTCCTTAATTAAGTCCTTCTTGACCCTTTCCTCCTTTGTGACCATACAGATTCCTACTACAGTACTTCTAACTCTTATTGCAGGGCCGGCCCGGTGGTGTAGTGGCTAAGTTCACACGCTCCACTTTGGCAGCCTGAGGTTCACAGGTTCGGATCCCGGGTGTGGACCTACACACCGCTCATCAAGCCATGCTGTGGTGGCATCCCACATACAAAATAGAGGAAGATGGGCATGGATGTTAGCTCAGGGCCAATCTTCCTCAGCAAAAAGAGGAAGATTGGTAACGGATGTTAGCTCATGGCCAATCTCCCTCACCAAAAAAAACCCTCTTATTGCAGATAGCCTATGAGTTCCTTGAGGGAAGAGAGCAAGCCTTATGTAGTTTTATGTCTTCAGTTGCCGAGCACAGTCTTCAGCATAGAGTGGGTCCTTAAGTGTTTGCTGAATGAGCAAAATACGTGGGACAGGTCTCTATCATGAGTGTGTGCTGGAGCCAGCTTGTTCTGTCTGAGAGAGCCAACTGTTAGCATCTCTTCTCAACTCAGTGTTCACTGATATCATTGGCCACAGTGGGAGAATTCATACCATGGAAACTGGCAAATGTTACCAATTGGGCCACTTATTTTTTCCTTTGGAGGGCTGGTTGTTAACAATTTATCAGCACACCACTGGTAGCAGTGTACCATAAAATTCTGGCTTTTTTTGGGCAATTAAAGTTATACATGCATGTAGTTTAAAGTAAATCAGTCTGCAGGTTTTATTATGAAAAACAGCAGTCTTCTGTTCCCTCTACTCATTTCCTTCTTCCCAGAGACAACTCTTTGACTTCATTTTGCTGGGTATTTCAGTATTGACTTCCATGTCTCTAGATAATAACATGCTTATATTACTACTTCTTGATTTTTCAGTTTTAGGCATCATCAATAGACTTTCCACAGTGGAACATGAGGATTTAGCTCTCCTTTCTCCCCCTGCCCCCTGTTTCCTTTCCTATCTCACATCCTTGCAATATAGTTATAGCATACTTTTGGTCAACAGTCAGTGTTTACTTTATTACAACTACATTAATTCTTTTTTTTTTTTTTAAAGATTTTATTTATTTATTTTTTTCCCTCCAAAGCCCCAGTAGATTGTTGTACGTCATAGTTGCACATCCTTCTAGTTGCTGTATGTGGGACGCGGCCTCAGCATGGCTGGAGAAGCAGTGCGTCGGTGCGCGCCCGGGATCCGAACCCAGGCCGCCAGCAGCGGAGCACGCGCACTTAACCGCTAAGCCACGGGGCCGGCCCATAACTACATTAATTCTATTTCATAGTTGAGCCACATTGCAAACTATGATGACTTTTCCTTTCTTGTACAATTTTTTTCACAGAGTTAATAACTGTTTTGTTTTTTGTTAGTGTTCTATGTTATTACTAATTCAACCCCAACTTTTAGCCAGTTGTCTAAATCTTTCAAGATGTTTATGTGTATCTGATATTTTGTCAGTTTCACCTTCCTGAATAAGTCTTTTCTGGATTCCACTCCGGGCTAACTGCTCCCTTTATGCTTCACGCATAGCTGTCATCCTTGGATCTGCCATCTCTATCATCCTATGGATTCTTTTCGTCTTTTTCTGAGTTGGATGTCTTGTTTCTTAGCTACCTCTTTTTGGTTTACTCTTCATTTTGGTAGAACACATCTTCCAGAAAAGTTTTTGAGACTTTTCATTTCTGAAAATGTCTTTACTCTATTGTCACACTTGATTAACACTTCGCTTGGGTATAGAATTCTAGGTTGAAATTAATTTTCCTTCAGAATTTTGAAGGCATTGTTCTATTATCTTCTAACTAGACAACTTGTTGCTACTAAGTCCAAAGCCATTCTGGTTCCTGATTAGTTGTATATGACCTATTATTTTCTCTTTTTAAGTTTGTAGCATGCTTTGTCTCCAGTGTTCTGAAATTTCAAAAAGATGTAGGTTTATTTTTACCCATCGTGCTGGGCACATAGTAGGCCCTTTCATTTTATAAATTATCTTTCAGTTCTGGAACATTTTCTTATATTATTTCTTAAATAATATCCTCCTCTGATTTCTCAACTCTCTTTTTTATGGAACTCTTATTCAGATGTTGGACATTTTGGACTGGTCCTCTCATTTTCTTATCTTTTCTCTTCTATGTTCCATCTCTTTATCTTTTTGCTCTACTTTTCGGGGAATGTCAAATTTATTTCCCAATTCTTCCACTGAGGTTTTCCTTTTGTTATCATATTTTTAATTTCTTAGAGTTCTTTTTTTTGGTTTTTGAAATGATAGATTGTTTGAAAGTGTTTTTCTCTCCCTGCAGAGTCTCTTTTCTTCTAAGTTGTTTTTTTTCTATTTGATTTGATCTCTATGTTTCATGATAGAGGCTTTCTTTAGATCTCTGGTAATCTTTGATTATCTCTTCATATTTAGGAGAAGATTCTAAAAAAGCTGACTGGAAGCTCTAAGCACATGAATGGAATTTGTCGTCCATTATTTTTCACTATAGGGTGATTTAAGTGGGCTGTTAGAAATCTCTGATGTAAATAAATTTAGGTTTTTCTTCTTGGGCTGGTCAGATGCTCCAGAGAAAATTCTTCCAAACTCCTAACTGAAGGCTGTAGGCCTGGTTGCCAGGGTTCTGGGAGTCAAGTCAGGAAGTGGGCTTGGGGGAGGACAGATCTTAGTTGCCCATATCCCTATGTTCCCCAACTTTCCTGGTTTTTATTACAGTACCTCCTCCCTCAATCCTGTTTATTGTCTTCCATCAGTCACTCTTCCTAAAGAGCAAAGGCTTAAACTTTAGCTCTATCCCATGCAGCTCCTCTCCCTAAAATGCTTTCCCTAACTCTTTACTGGCAGCTGTGAGAGGCAGTTCAACTTTCACTGGCCTTGCAGTCTTCCCCTATCTTTCTCCCCTATCATTTCCTGGACAGAGAAATCAACAGATGTTAGAGCTAGAATCAATCTCAGGCTGATCCAACCTAATGGTTTTCAAAATTTGTTTTAAAGATCTGCTTCACATCCTATAGGAAGGACAAGTGCCCCCTCCCCACTGTATTCCAAACAACTAACTTTTATCAGTTTTAAATATTGAGTTTCTATATAAGATTTATCTTAAGAAAAAGTTTCCTTTCTCAAAAGTCTAAAAACCATTGATTTGGTAATAACCTTCCTCTCTTCCACCACCTACGCTTGCATTTTTTACATGGAAAAATCTGAGGTCCATACAGAGGAAGAATCTTATTAAACAGCATTCCAGCCTTCTTACTCCCAGGTCAGGCTGTCCCTAAACCAAGATTTTAGGATACTCTAAAGTGTCTCAAAATGGGAAGATTCTCTATAACTTGTAACAGAGAAGCTCTCCCTCAGAAACAGTGCTTGGCTTATATGTCCACTCCTCCTAGGCCTCTGCTTTTTTCAGGGATGCTTTGGGATACTGAGATAGGGGAAACCGAACCTTAGACATAGGTACAGTGTCATTCCCAGCACTGCCAGTGGCTCACTACTGTGGCCACCCCATCAAGTAGGATATCAAAGCAAGAGAAGGCAGCTTCTCCCAGGACCACATTTGTCCTAAGCGCGAGAGGGCCACTGGAAATGCTTTCAGAGACGATGTCATTATGGAGCAAAAACCAAGGCCTCAAAGGGCCTAGCCATTATTCCTTCCTTCATCCTTTTCCCTTTCTTCCCCTCTCCAAGCTGAGCCCTTTCCTAGGTTGGACTGGCCCCCAAAGCCTCCTAGGAGTACCAGGGGCCTTGCATCGAGCACAAGAGAAAACATACCCTTCTTCCACTGTGACTGAGTTCATGAGAAGGCAATTGGTGATAGTCACTCTATCTCTTATGACACAGGATGAACCGATGACTGAGTGCTTAATGGATGACTTCTCTCCAACCTGTGTATCTGGTCCGATGAGGCTGTCAACTCCAACCTGCAAAAGGTAAATATAAAACCTTGTCCGTCCATCTCAATCAATTGCAAACCAACTCCCCAAATCCCTTGAGCTGGGGTCTAATGGAATCTTTCCCTAGAGATACTTCAGCAAAAGGGACCATCATCAGTATTTCTCAGGGCCACAAGGCCACATAATACCTCCAAGACCAACTCAAACTTACACACTCATGCATTTGTGTGTACAGATGTGCTCTCTTGAAGAGAGTGCCCAAATCAGGGTAAGAAGAGGGACAGAGATGGAAAGCTCCTGTGTCTGAGTCCCAAGACTATAATGGATCTTCCTTACAGAGTTTGTGTGGCTGGGGTCAGCATCTGTTCAGGCAGTCTTTTTGAGTGCCTGGGCTAGAAGGCCAGATTTTATAACCAGAACCCAGTTGGGATTTCTCTGGGCTAATGAAGTTCAGGGCTTGAGAGCCCCAATCCAGCTTCTCAAGGACAAGCCTCAATATACCCAGAGAGTGTCCAGTGCCTGCCCTGCCCATGCTAGCACTTACCAGGTGTTTGCTGACAATCTGGGCTGATGAATGGATCAGTGATTCTTCTGGACAGAGAACAGGTAGCAATTTGCACACCTTGAGGAAAGAGGTTTGGTCACTAAAGTAAGACCAGAAAACACCTGAAAGTACCTTAGGGAGAACCCAATGCTCAGTCAGAGATGTGGGGAGTTTTCAGCCACAGCTTCCTATCTGGGTGAGGCAGAGCAGGAGGCTGCTGCATTTCCGCTAGGACAAGGACTGTTTATGCAGCAGCTTCTAGTTGGTCTTATCCTAAGTTTCCTAGCTGACAGTCTCCTCCCTGAAAGTAATGCCATGTCTCTCAGCTGATAGGCAGTGAGACAAGCCTTTGAGATACCTAGGCAGCACCTGGGAGAGGAGGCCTAAATGAAGGCAAGGAGCATCCTGAGTCCTGACCATAGTCATCCTAGTCTCCTGCTCACCTCCTGGACTACTGTGGCCATGCATGAGGTGAGGATGGGAGCAATGTTAGACAAATTCCACAATCAAGAGAAGGCATCCATGTTTTTCACCAGCCAAAAAAAAGATGTTGAAGGGGAAGTTCACACTATTCTCTCTCCGCTATGAGAAAACTGAAAAAATTACAAGTATGGAGTAGTTTTAGCTCCAGATCTGTTAGGAAGGCACAGTGTACCTATCTGTGATTCTCCAGCGTGGGAAGAATGCTGGTCAGAGCACTGTGTGTGGTGGCCACGTTGGCTCAGGGAGGCCTTGCCAGGACTGGCTACACTGGCAATATCAAGGCTAATCCCTCAGCCTCTATCCCTGAGATCTCCTCTATTACACTCCAACCAATGCCACTCAGGCCTGTCTGCTACACAGCCGCTGCTGGCACTTCAGAGGATACTTCTCTAGCCTCAGGCTATCCATGGACCTGCTTTCAGACCAGCCTGAGAGATTCTAGTCATAGACTTGAAAAAAGAGAACTGAAAGTCAAATTAAGGAAGCTTTCTAACAGCTCTGACCCTAAGTTGGGGTTAACTTTACCCAGGACTGGCCTCGGTAAACATGGGACTGGTTGTGATTTCTCATAAACTCTCTGGCTGGGATTCCCTTGGCTCTATAACCAATCCAGGCTGGGACCAGCTTGAGATCTGCGACTGGGGCTATACCCACCATATGGTGTGGGTCCTGAAGATTCCTGAGCCAGGTTTTCTTCAGGGACTCAACCCCAATCTCAATTTTAAACAATCCTTTATCACTCTACTTACTCCTCCCTCACCCAAACTTGCACCTGCAATGACAGTTTTCACAGAGTTCTACCAGGAACCATGCCAAGAGCTAATGTTTTCATCATCTCATCCCTGTTGTCCTTGAATGCCATCCCAATGTCATTCCCTCACCATCTGTCTTTTCCTATTCTCATCTCAACTCTTTACTGCTCAGTTTCATTTCACGATCTCATCATCCTTCCCTCCTAAAACCTTTTCCTGTGCCTGCTATACAAAGAGCTCCCCTACACCCTCAGCCTCTTCACTGTCCCTTCTTCACCGCTTGCCTTAACTAAAATCCGGCCTGTCTTTTAGGGCACTGCTTCCCCTTCAATAGAAGCTCATTCTCCACATCTCACAAACCTCAGGGTTAAAAGGAGGGATTAGCAAGACTCCTTACTCTCTTTCTAATGCTGTTTCCAGAGACTTCTCTCTCATAGACATTCCTTCCTTGAGGCATGCCATCTGGCTATTCAATACCTGTTCCTTCACCTTCTTAGGAAAGCCTACTCTGTGTGCCTATGTTTACCTTATCACAGTAATGATTACACAGTATTTATCTGCTTATTTATGAACTACTGTAGATATCCCCATGCTGAGCAGAATAGGAGAAAGCTGCTGAACCTACAGGCCAGAAGTTAGCCTTCCTGGAGATCTTAGTCTTTCCTTGGAGCCACAGAGGCTCTGCCTTTATGGACCAGGCCTCCTGCTTCCCCTTTTGCTGTACCTGCATACCCCCATGGTCTCCCCTGACATGCCAGGTCTTGCTCAACCTTGGGAATGAGAGGGATTCTAAACAGGTCACTGGGTACCTAATAAAGAAATAAGGCAAAAAGCTCAGTCTGTTTCTAGGGCAGGGACTCCCAAGATTTCTCCTCTAAACCCATCCTCTCACCTGTCTATTTGCTTCCATGTAGAGTCCCAGGGTGCTCACTCGAGAGCAGAGCCCCTCTTTCATGATGTGGACATAGCAGCGCACCTGTGACCTGGATAAGTCTTCCCATCTGTCTTCTTGACAGGCATTCCAGCAGGCATCATAGGGAGCAAAGGTCAGTGTATTGGCTTCTTTTATAAAACTGTAAATATCTTCAGAACAAACATGCAAACAGAGCAAGTGAATGAGAGAAAGATGCAAGAGGGAATATATACTCAATCAAATTTTGAAAGAGGGTACAACTCACACCTCTAGCCCTGGAACTCACTCATGCAACATGGACCCTGGGGAAATCCCACTAAAACCTGAAAGACTAAGTCAAATGAAAAGAGGCAATGTGCTTTCCTGTACGTTTGAAATATTGTATGATAGAAAAATGTTTAAAAAGAGGTCAAAGCAAGTTTGACTAATAATCAAGTACAACTAGGGAACAAAAGCAAGTGTCCAGACTTTAGTGACCAGCGATGTTGGCTTTGTCTTGCTAGCCTCTATTACCATATCTAGCAGTTGTGTTATGACAGAAATAGCACAGGATTTGGAGCCAGAGTACCTGGGTCCAGTTTTTCAAATCTTGCAACGATTATTTGAGATCTTTTATGATAAGAAAACTGGGGCTCAGAAGACTGAGTAACCTGCCCCAGGTCACAGAGTTAATAAGAGGCAGAGTCAGATTTCAAAGCCAGGTCTGTCTGACGTCAAGTCCTGTAATATTAGCCATCATACTATACTGTCTCCGTTCATTCATTTGATAAATATTTTTTTGGAACATCTACTATGAGCTCAGGACTAGGCCAGGGACTAGGCAGGGATATGAGTGCAAACAAGACAGACCTTGCCCCTACATCCTGGAAAGGAGATAGTCTGGTTGGCCTCTGGTTGGACTGTAATTGTACACTTCTTCATCTTTCTTCCCTTGACAGAAGAGGCTGAGTTTAGTCAGGAGAGGGGTTGCCCAGAGCCTGAAGAACAAGGTGGGCACCAACTGAGAAGTGGTGGGCAGAGCTTAAAGTCAAAATTGTCTAGTGAGGAACACAGCTAAACCAGAGGTGTGAACCAGAGAACGGACCTGAAGCATGATTAGCCTGTCCCTGAAGAGCACGGTGACAGAGTCTGCTTGAGCAAGCTTACCCAGAACTCAGGGAGTGGCGTCACCTAAACTATTTTGCCTGTTGGCTAGAGAAGAATCTGCTGCCTTGAGACAGACATCTTGGGCTGGACTAAGCTGCCCAGCCACTCTCTCCAAAGTGCTGCTTACTGTCTTACTGCACCAACCCAAGCACTGACCTAAGGACTTCGGCTCCTTTTTCTTTAGATCCTCCTCTTTTTCTTCTCGTCCTTGTTGTGAGGAAGCTGAGAACTGTTTTCTTACTAGGTATGGAATTAGTTCACTTCGGATGGAAGTGATTGACCTAGGAAGAAAGAGTGGTCAAATATGAGAAATCTAACTATCTGGATCCTATTGGGATCAAAAACTCCGTGCAGGCAAGGAAAAGCTCAATTCCTTCCTGTTATGCCACCTTGGGACTGACAGAGATCAAAAGTGGAATGGACTTGGCAGTTCTGGAGAAGCAGAGCATCTAAGTTTTCCATCAGCTTCAGGCTGGAGGTGGGAGGGTAGTGTACTGAATCTGAGAATCCCTTCCCCTGGTTTATGCAGAAAATAGTCTTTCACCAAAGTCCCATCTACATGGTGTGCATGTGTACGTGTTTTGTTTGTTGTTTGTGTGTGTGTATTTTAACATGGTACCTTGACTCTTAACTGGCAATAACTCACAAGAAGGCAGAATGCTCTGGTCTTTTGAAAAAAGTTGTTTTAAAAACATTTAAAAGTTTTCTCCATAAAGGCCTTGAATATCATCTGTTAGATTAATCCTAAGAATCATATTTTTTGTTGGTACTATAAATGGTGTCTTTTAAACATTATTTTCTTCTGGTTGTTGGTTTATAGAAATTCAATTTACTCTGTATTTTGATCTTGTGGCCAATTGCCTTGCAAAATAATCTTATTAATTCTAAAAATTTATCTGTAGATTCTGACAATCATATCAACTATGAAAACACCAATTTTCCTTCTTCCTTTCCAATTCCTGTATCTTTTATTTATAAATTTCATTGTTCTTACCATATTGGCTAAGACTTCACATACAATGCTGAATAGAAGCACTGATAACAGTCATCCTTACTTGTTCTTTTTTTTTTTTTTATAATTTTTATTTATTTATTTTTTCCCCCAAAGCCCCAGTAGATAGTTGTATGTCATAGCTGTACATCCTTCTAGTTGCTGTATGTGGGACGCGGCCTCAGCATGGCCAGAGAAGCAGGGTGTCGGTGCGCGCCCAGGATCCGAACCCGGTCCGCCAGCAGCGGTGCGTGCGCACTTAACCGCTGAGCCACGGGGCCGGCCCCATCCTTACTTGTTCTTGATTTTAAAGGGAATTCTAATATTTTATCATTTAGACTGATAACTGTTGTATGTTTTTTTTTCTTTTCATCATCAACGCTAACCTTTATTGATTGCCTTCTACGTGTAGATATTGGGTTTCATGCTTTATAGGCAATGTTGGCATATGTTACAAGTTTTTTGTTGATACCCTTCATCAGGTTAAGGAAGTTCTGTTTTATTCCTAACTTGCTAAGAGCTTTCATCAATGAACGGGTATTAAATTGAAAAAAAAATTTTTTTTCATGTATGGAGATCATATTTTTTCTCCTTTAATCTGTTATGGTGATGAATTATATATTTCTTATTTTCTAATAATAACAGCTGTATTATAGAAAGACGGTATACATGATTTCTGCTCTATACTCCCTCATAGTAGAGAAATTATGGGTGATTCTTTTCTTCTTTATGCAAATCGTCAAATTTTACCATTTTAGGCCATTTTTTTTTTGTTCTTTTTTTGGTGAGGAAGATCAGCCCTGAGCTAACGTCCATGCCAATCTTCCTCTTTTTGCTTAGGAAGACTGGCCCTGGGCTAACATCCATGCCCATCTTCCTCTACTTTACATGGGACACCACCACAGCATGGCCTGACAAGCAGTGCATTGGTGCACACCTGGGATCCGAACCTGGGTCGCCAGCAGTGGAGTGCACGCACTCAACCGCCATGCCACGGGGCGGCCTCATTTTTTAGGCCATTCTTAAGTTTGTTATCTCTTATTTTTTCTTAGCTTCTATGGTACTACTCTCCTGGTTTGATTCAGATTCTGCAAATTGAAAATCCATTCTTTTTCTTTTTTTTTTTTTTGTGAGGAAGATTAGCCCTGAGCTAACATCTGTTGCCAATCTTTCTCTTTTTGCTGAGTAAGATTGGCCCTGGGCTAACACTGGTGCCCATCTTCCTCTACTTTATATGGGATGCTGCCACAAGACAAGTGGTGCGTCGGTCTGCGCCCAGGATCCGAACCTGTGAATACCAGGCCACTGCAGCGGAGTGCACACACTTACCTGCTATGCCACCAGGCTGGCCCCTAAAATCCATTCTGATGACTAAGTACTTCCCATGCAGATTTCATCCTCCCACCTACTTAAGAGTGGGCTCCCTCACATTACAACAGTTGTACTTATTTACCAATGTCTATCAAAGAATTCCCACAACAAAGTTAACTTCAGTTTACTCTCATGTAATCAGATTGGTCTAGGACAGCACTTACAGAAAATCAGATCAAAGATCAATGTGTAGAAGAATTTCCGGAAGGTAAAGAAATTCCTGCACTATTTTTACATCACTCAGATATAAGCAGTCAGTACTCTTGGCCAAGAACTTTGGAGCTCTCCTTCATTTGGCTTTTTTGGGTCCCAGGAGGCATGGTGCTTCCTGGTGGGTATCAAGACAGGATATTGGGTCTAAATGACCAGGAATCTGTAACAGGAAAAGGGACCTGATCCTTAGTACAGTGAGTATGCTTTTGATTTATACTTAGCAAAGGAAATGAAAGTGTAACCACAGGCCCATTTAGAGCCAGTTCAAACAGACCCCATCTCTTATCAACAAAGTGATTAAGGATCGTCTTTCAGAAAAACTGCAAAGTCACGTAGCCAGGGCATGCACAAGGGAAGAAATCGTGACCTGAAACGACCTCTGAACCAAAGATCCTACTTCTATGGAACCCAAGGACCAGGACGTCACCAGAACTTGAAAGCCGGACTCTTATCGGAAGCGAGGGGTCCCTCATTCAGGAAGATCTGGTGTTAAAATTCCTTCCCAACTTCATCGTAAATGTTTAGAACCTTACCGTAAATCCCTGAAGCCCACCAATCAAAACCTGTCCCACCAGCATTTCCGCATGCCAAGCCTGTTCTCCCTAACTTCTTAAATTTTCTCCCAAATCCTGAATCGGGGGGCCACCCGGTGGCGCAAGTGGCTAAGTGAGCCTGCTCTGCTGGGCAGCCCGGGGCTCCCCGGTTCAGATCCCGGGCATGCACCGATGCACCGCTTGGCAGGCCATGCTGTGGTGGCGTCCCATATAAAGTGGAGGAAGATGGGCACGGATGTTGGCCCAGGGCCAGTCTTCCTCAGCAAAAAAAAAAAAGAGGAGGATTGGCAGATGTTAGCACAGGGCTGATCTTCCTCACAAAAAAAAAAAAATCCTCAATTGGAGAGACAGATCTGAGGGCACACACCCCGTCTCTCTGGAGATCAATCTTCCAGAATAAAGCTGATTTCTCCCCTCAAAGGCTGGTGCCATAATTAATTAGCTTATTTATGTGCATCGGGCAGAGAACCCCAATTTTGTGCAGTAACAAAAGCACAGAGGGGTGAGAGACTAGCACATGATTTTTGGTTTTCTCTCTTACACTGTGACCTTATTGGAATTTTAAATCAGTACTTAATTTATTTAGCATTTACCAAGCATTTATTAATATGCCAGTCACTGTGCTAGGCCTTAGAAATATACTGTTTCTGACTTCAAAGAATTCATAATCCAGTGGGCAGTAGCCTGATTATGGATTTAAGGAGAAGGGTAGAAGGAGATGAGGCCGATTTAGGTAGGGGAGGAAGCCAGATCATGGAAGCATTCTGTGGCAGTCTACAATGGCTGAACTGAGAAGCCAGTGGTTGTTTTTAAGCAAGAAAGTGACATGATCAGTTCTATTTCTTAGTAAGGTAATTCTAGGAACAATGGAAATAGGCCTGGAAAAAGTAGAACGAAGAAGAAGACCTGGAACTGAAGACAGGGAGACCAGTTACAAGACTCTGAGAGATGAGATAATGTGGCCTGAGAGAGCGGTTAATGTATAAGCAGCCGGATAAACCCGACCACTGCTGCATACCTCCCACCCCCTTCCCCAGCTCCCATTCAAAGAAGCTCTGCAGGCTGACACAGGACCATACAGATGGAGTGTAGGTAGGAAGGCAAGACAGAGGCGGAAGCTGAGCAAAATTATGAACACCGGAGCTACACAATTCATGGTTTTTGTCATTTTTAAAGGATCAAATCAAACATCTTTGAAAAATTCTATGTAAGCTGGAAGCTCTTGTATTGAATTTCTTTTTTTTTTTTTTTTGTGAGGAGATCAGCCCTGTGCTAACATCTGCCAATCCTCCTCTTTTTTTGCTGAGGAAGACTGGCCCTAGGCTAACGTCCGTGCCCATCTTCCTCCACTTTATATGGGACACCACCACAGCATGGCTTGCCAAGTGGTGCATCGGTGCGCGCCCGGGATCCAAACCGGTGAACCCCGGGCCTCCGCAGCAGAGCATGCGCACCTAACTGCTTGTGCCACCAGGCCGGTCCCTCTTGTATTGAATTTCAATGTGATTTTTCTCATGATTTGACGGAGATTAAAAATTTCCATATGAATACAAAGAATGAAACAACACATACTCTTAGCTCTTTTTCTCCCCTCTTAATGCCCAAACCAGTGTGGATAGCAAATGTTTGCTGGCCCCCTCTGGTGGAAAACCAGTCAGTTCCCTTTGAAGAAATGCCAAAGCATGGACAGCTGGGGGATTTCAGAGCCATTATATTTACATTATGGGCCAAAAAGAACTGTCACTGCAAGGGGCAAGCAAACCAGCCGTGGCACACAGCCCCTTCAGGCAGAGCCCTTTAAGGAGATCAGACAGTAATTTGAAGAGGGGACATTAAGCAGTCCTGCCAGGTCCCACCCGCCTCTACTGGCACTCAGCATCAGGTCAATTCCTATAATGCAGTTGGATGGAAGACAAAATTACTCTTCCCGCTTCCTAGTCAAAGTAGAGGCAGCTCAAAGTCACGCAAAGAAGTAGGACAGGCCACTGTGAACCGCTGTGAACATCATGACCTTGGGGCTGAAGACTAGCAGCTGGAACCAGTGCCCCGGGCCTGGGCAAGCTCACTTTCTCATTTCCCTCTTATCATAGCCTTCCCAGAAACACCGGCCTCATCTCATAAAATTAAAAGCTCCTCAGAAATAAGAAGCCAG